GCTAAAATATCTCAGCTTTGTAACATCTACATCCCTTGCAAGATTCAATTTTGATGCTCCTTGATCTCCCGCCATAACCTAAAAGTTAAAAATGTGATTTTAGTCTTCAAGCATTTTGGTGAATAGCTTACCAGAGAAACTAAAGACATCACATGTTCAGCTGAACATGTAGACCTTAAAAGCTTATACCTAGTTACTGATGACAACACTAATATTATTATAACCAGATGAGTGTTCCTACATGAAGGGAGAGAGAACTGGTGCTAGGTCTTTGATATGCACCCAACCAAGTATGGTTGCCATGAGCTTGTAGAAACATAGCGGCTTCATTGCCCTCCCATATCACAAAAAATTTAACAAAGACCACCTAGACTTCACAAAATCAAAATGCAAGTGTAATTTCCAAACTTTTTACAAAATTTTTTATACTGCAAAATATTTCTAAGCCCCCAAAACAGTTTGCACTAAATTTTCTTGTATTACTTGTTCGCACTGAATTACCCTTCTCTGCACTGAATTAAATCTCTTATTTATATTGTTACCTGAAAATGCATTTCTCTTGGCCAATCAGAGGTAAGAATTTTTTCATTTTATACTAGTGATTTAATCAAACATAGTTAGTGTTTTAGTAAAGCATCTAAAAGTTGCATACCGTCAGAAGAGGTTTGAGGTCCTCTGCATATCGGCACATAGGCCCAGTGCACAAGAACTGCTGTCTGTTACCTGATGCATCAGGAAACTGACCAGCATTGGGTACAATGTCTGGACTAGGCTTGTGTCCAAATATTCCAGTGAAAAAGGACGGCATTCTTATACTGCCACCAATGTCTACAAGAATAATGATTAAAAATAAGAGATAACAGATTGATTGCAGAACAAATTGATGTTTAATTTATTGACTGATTGCAGTTTGTTTGAGTAAAGTTTGGTTTAGATGAGTGTTTGAATTTTTATGTTTATGTTTATGAACAAAGGAAAGGGATGACCAAATGATTGATCAATGTATAGCCCCATGGATGAATGAACAAGCAGAGACAAAAACAAAAAGAAATAAATAAGTAGCAAAGAACTGAAAAAATGAGGAAAGACTACCTGAATGACTGTCTGACTCAATGGCTGACTAGCCAATTCATTGACCGGCTAACATATTGACATAGGGGGTAGGTTTCTAAAGAAGCTGTGGTGTTGTGTCAGTGGGAGGGTATAACAAGGTAATTTGGTATTATAAACTGAGTGGATGATGTAAATTGACCAACTTTAAAAGTTTCGAAGCTAAACTCTTGACTCTCAAGAAATCAACTCAGTTGATAATCCCAAATTACCTTGACTAGTAGACTGATTGGTCAGA